AAAATGCAAATTTAGTTCAGTTCAGCAAATTAAACTTCCTTGTAGGTACAGCTTAGAATGCTCTCAGAATAGAATAAAGGATTTGGGCCAGTGTAAACGCATCTTCATGAGGATTTTTTGCTGTTACAGCTATAACAAATGGAGTCGTGCTTTGCTTTTTTGTGTTCTCAGTGACATGACTATGCCAGCAATGCTTTTAAGAGCAAGCCTAACTCGGGCAGGTCTTGTGTGAGTCTGTCAAACAGCCCCCAGCAAAAAAAGCAAACAAGCTCTCACAGTGAAACAAGAAGGGAATCGGCTACAAAACACATCATGCTCCACTGAAGGAAAACATGAAGGAGATTCAGGCCACTGGACCTTCAGGATACTCAGGCAAAACCCGTGGCCACGTGAATTGTGTCAAAAAGCAGCTGAGCACCTCGCCCCAAAGCTAAGGGCTCTCCTCTGGAGCCCCAAAAATATAAGTGCCAAACACTTTATCTTTTAGTAGCTCAGGTTTTGAATAACAAATTTTTTCCATCCTTTGAAGCACTTTCCTGGCACTCAGCTGAAATAGAATGCGAACTGTAGGATGCATTTTTTCTGGAAAAAAATCCACCATCTTTTTGTTTTCCACCACACAGCCCCACAACAGGCCAGGTCTTTGAGGGAACAGTGTTGGGACTGTCTGGAAAACACCGGGTCAAACCTCACCCCTCAACTTGGTTCTCCTAAAGGACCCTCCTTCATCACTGATGCTAAAACAGAGAGATGAAAACACCTGGACCAAAAGTATAGTTACTATATGAATTTGCATTTCCTGCTCTCTGACAGTGTTCCTCTTCGGGTCAGGCCACTAAACCAGAACTCTGCAAAGTTTAAACTAAATTGTGTCCCCCCAATTTAGCAAGGTCCTTTACAAAGCTGTTTGAGCTGCATGACTGGGAGCTGCTCTCTGCTTTTGCAAATTGTGCCCCGATCACCCATAAAAGCAGCTTTTCTGCTCCACTGACACCTGAACAACCCTATCCAGAGGGAAGCTCTTTCCTACATTCTCAAGGGAATCTAGTGTGGGAATCTGGGCTTCATTTTTTATTTTTTGAACAAATAATCAGTGATGCCAAACAGTTCTTGCAGTAGCTCTGAGCTCAGAGCAGGTTCCCTGCAGGGCTGGGGTGGGTTTTGATCCTTCTGAGGCTCAGGGACAGCCCTGCATCCCCAGGGAAACTCCTGGAGCTGGGAAGGGGAACCTGGCTGGAGAGGCTCCTCAAAGTGATGTCAGCAGTTTGCTTTACACCCCCTGATATTTCCAATATCTCCATCTCCTCCTTCAAGTCCTGACACATCCCTCTCAATACTTGAAGTTTTTGTCCCTATGCCAATGGCAGAATTAGCTCTGAATTGCCTGGCTTTTGCTAGTTTCGATCAGATTCTAAATTATTTAATGCAGGATTTTGACATTTATATTTTTAATGCCTCTGACCCTCTTGTCTGCCAGGCAGCTGTTGCTCTGGAGGCTCTCCTTTCTGACATCAGCTATTATGCCTTTAAAAGTGCAAATAAATAAAATTATAAATTAATAGAGTGAAGAGGAAACATGTGCAGAGGGATTATTTTATTTTTTTTTTTTTAATTCATCAAAGGCAGCTGAGCCCCTCTATGCTTCCATGTTGTGCTTTGCATTTGTTCCAGCAGGAGGATAATGAGAAATGGAAAACACCAGTGTTCATTATTTTAGCATATTCCCTAATGTGCATGCTGGTTCACTGGGAGAGAAAAAGGAGACAAAGGACTTTACACTGCATTTAATTCACTTCTAAATCTGCCCAGGCCTGATTCTGAAATCTAATCTCCACTATCTGTTTCAAGTTTCCACAGTTAAAAATTCCACAAAAGTCCTCTTCTCTCCCTCTCTCTTCCCTTTTCCTCACACAGTTTCATCTCTATGAAAATATTCTCACCAAAGCCTGACCTCTGGGGTTAATTCAACATGTAATTAAGACTCAGATTAAACACAAGAAGGCAAATTTTCCTTTGGTCTCAGGTTTAACCAGGGCATCCCTAAGCCAGGATGGGTATAGGAATTCAATTAGAAAAACAAATTAGAAATATTCTAATACTTTAGAAACTTTAAGTTAAATTGTGCTGCTTTAGAGAGAAATTTTTAATCAAAATGTTTGAATTTCACTTGGTTTCTTATCCCTAATTTCATCCCCAGTTTAGTACATGAGAAATGGCACAAAGTGGCAGCAGACATTTAAATTGTTTGGGACAGGCATCTTGTCTTAGTTATACTGAAAAAAATATATTTGGTGCACAATTAAAATGGCCACTGCTCTCAGCTTGCCTGATTATAATCTCCACCATATGACTCTCCTCCTTGGAACATGCAGCTCCTTTTTGTGTGTTTGTAGGAAAATATGCTCCTATAGCTGAGAGCAGCTAATACTGGAGAAAATACTAATTTCCAACTGGAATATCTGTGAAGGATCATAGGAGAAATTCAGATTTGCAGCATTATTGCACAAGGGTACAACATATTAAAGAGGATAGATTTAGCAACTTAGGTTCTGGATATTTAGATTTAGGTGTTGTCCAGGGGTCTGGAATTTCATCAGCTGCTGGTTTTGGGCTGCCACAGGACCAAGGATGATCCTTAATCCCATTGATGCTGCCAAGCACACCTCCCAGGCAGAGGGGCTGTAGGAAACTGCACTTCTCTTGCCCAACATGAAATCCCTTTTGCACAAGCCCCTCTTGCTAGCTGTGGGCTGTAAAAGCCATCTGTGATCCAAACAACGCTGCTTTCATCTCCACAACAATCCCTCTGCTGCCCCAGGCTGTGGGGCACTGATGTTTGTTAAAACAACCGATGTTTGTTAGAACACCCTGCTCCAAGCACCACTGGTGAACCTGATAACCGTGTTTTGACTTCCCTCCTGTCCCTGTTTTGTGTTCTGAGGGGGAATATCAGACAGGAGTGAATGTTTGGAGCTGTTTTGCTCCAAAGCATGGGATAGATCACCATGGAAGGGACATCCAGAGACATCCCCACAATAACATAACCATATATCAATAAACTTCTATTAATATTCACACAATATTCATCCAATCTTCTCATTATTCATCTATAACACTTCTGTCCCTCTTTTGTGTTCTGAGGGGGAATATGGGGCAGGAGTGAATGTTTGGAGATGTTTTGCCAGGAAAGCATAGGATAGATCACCATGGAGGGGACATCGAGCCCTGCAGTCTCCTGGGCTGCTCTCCTTCTGCCTCCACGTGTTGTAAGACAGAGCTGTGCTTGTGCAGAACGGGGCAAAATGCAAATATTTCAGCTAAGTGCTCTCTTACACTGCTGTGTAGCCTGGACATGTCCGTGGGATCTGGATCCCTTTGCTGTACGTGGGTGACCTTTGCTAGGGATAAAACTTCACCTAATTACACCTCCTTTGCCTGGAGGGCTCAGCAGGCAATGGCCACATCCCACAGGAGTCTCTCTGCTCCAAAGGGTGCTCGGCAGGCAGGTCTGCCCCTGCAGGGACTGAGGAACCTTCCCAGCTGGATGAGCTGTGGGAACAATTTCACAGGGAGCTGATGAGCACAGCCCAACCAGAACTCTGGCACTGTCTGCTGAGCGGCCCAGGTTATTCCTCTGATGATGCCTTTCTGAATTTCTCTGTATTTCCTTCTCTATTTTCTTCTCCATTCCCTACCTTAGATAGTGGGTGAAGATATTTTGTCTAAAATATCCCTATTTGTCCTAAAAAATCCAACAAATAACACCACTTTGCATCTGCTGACCCACCTGTGATGTCAAAACGATAAAAGCAGAAGTCTCGCTTTTTCCTGAAACATCTCCACTGTTTGGTTGATTTTTCAATGAGTTTTGAGGGGTTTTCTCATTTACTGTTAGGACAATTTGAAGCAGCAAATCACATTATTATTTTAACAGTGCCAGAGGAAATGAGCTACTCCACATTTTCTAGTTACACCATTTACAGTGCTAACCCAGCACAGAAGCCACAGTTTCACATCTCATCAGTCTGGCAGGCTCTAGGATAACTTTGCCTCTTCAAACTCCCAGTTATTTTCTAACCTAGATGGTGAATAAAATATATATGCATATATACTGATATATGCAAATAAATAGTTATTTCTTGTATTTATAAAACCAGAAAGGGATTGGCTGCCTCCTGAATAATGTTAGGAATAAAATATGCCCCAGCATTTCTGCACTTCAAAGCAATGCCCAATGAAGTGTGATGTGATGAGAATTCTCTGACATTCAGAGGGGCCAGGACTTTATCCACAGAATAAAAGAGGAACTATTTCTGCAGAGACAGAGTCCAAACTTTGGCAAAGGAAGTTTTAATAGATTTTTACATGACACAAAGCCAAAAGTATCCAGAAATGACTGATGTCTCAAATACCATGGCAAAAATCCAATGGAGCCCAACAGAAGATTTTCTCTTGACTGCAGTGGTGATGAGATCAGGTATGAGGGAGCAAAAATCAGCTTTTGATGTTTAGTATCCATTTTAACATCATAAAACATGTTAGAACAGCTCATTCACACAGTGCTTCTTGGAAAAGCAGCATCAGGAGAAAATTAGACAGGGAAATTCTCCAGGAGTTGGTGAGGGAAACATCTGACTGCTCATGAATGGTTCTGGCTTCTGGCTGCTCCTTTCCCACCAGAGTGAGGCAAAACTGCTGCTTTTGTACATATTTTGTATGTTCTGAACACGACTGACAGCACTGCTCCCTCCCCAAGCTGTTATTACAGCCAGTGGCATCAGTATGGTTGCACTCCATTTTCTGGAATAGATGAGTTAGTGGTTAAGTAATAAAATACAAAATTACCTCTTTTAAGGTAGTGTGTGACATTATGGGGAGAGTTTTCCAAACCTCTTCACTAACACAGGTAATTAGTTGCCTCTTGCTTAGTATTTTCCTCAGATTCCAAACTCTTTCTGCTCCAAGGACTGGTTTTAGTCCAGTGAAATAAAGACACTCCATTTCCAAAATTTATAGGGTTCATTTATTACCTCTAGTAACATATTATACTGTATAAATACTCTATCCTTGTTATATGTCCTTTTAAAAAAGCGATAACTTAGAAGATCACATTAGACAAGAAGTATAAAAATAAATACGCTCATTATATGCATTTATTACAAATTATAACCCTTCCCAGAAGGGAGAGAAATATAAAATACTTATGAAGTATATAAAATCTATAGTAATATATTTTACTATATACATATGGAAAGCCATATTCTCTCATGGTCTATGGACTGGCACAATCTTCAATGATGTGAATGCTGGCGTTTCGCTGTGGATGGACCTGCTATCCCTCAGCTTTGCCTTCCCACCTGATCAGTGACTGAGCTCTACAGACCCACCAGAGGCCACAGAGGACATACTCATTCCTAATGGGACTCTTTTTTTTTTTTTGTTCTTTTGAACTTAAATAATATCCATTGGCTGGGGTAAGGCCAAAGATTGGAGTGTGAAGACACGACTGGAATGCTCACACACTCCATGGATCTGTTTGGCAGGAAGGCAGGACCAAGCTGGAATCAGAAAAGCCAGTGGAAGGTATATGCAGAAGGCACAAAGAGCAACTACTCAGACTCAGATTTCCACTTTTCCAAGCCTCTGGATTACACATATCACCACAATGGCACTGGAGTGGCTGAGAGAAATGGACAGGCACATTGGGATGACATAAAAGTACTTAAAAAAAAAATGAAATTCTAGTGATTTGTGGAGTTGATATTTGTTCTTGGTATTTCTTACTCTTAACAGGTAGAGAATATGGCTTTATTTTTATATAAAACTATTCTCTGAAACAATAGCAGCCATGAATGACATAGTTAAAGCTCCTTTTCCAATCTTGTTTTTTGCCCTTTGTGAGGTAGGTAAGCCCTGACCAATTATTTTAAGCTATCTTTTTCCCTCCCCTTCCTACACGTGGGGATTTGATCAGTACCACAAGATAAATCCAAAAGAAGGGAGAAATAGCCAAACCCCAAAATGTTTGCTGAAATGTGTCTCACTGCTCATGTTTGGCTTAATTCATAACAGACTTTTAAAAAGGAAATTCTGATGCCTTTGGGCCTTATCTGCTAAAGAGAAATGAATGACATGGGTCTGCTATCCCATCCAATTTTCAGCTGGCAGGGGATTTTTGGGATGCAAAGCCAATTCAAGCTGTTTGCGCTGTCCCACCTCAACAGATCTTCACCGTGAATTATTTACGCAAAAACACGGGTGCTGCCTCTAGCCCTCTTTTGTGTTTTTCAGTGCACTGGTCTGAAGGAAAAAAATAAAATAAAATAATAATTGTAAAAAAAGTTTTAGCTTTTCCCAAGCCGTCCTATCTAGCTGCAGTCCGTGGCGTTGCAGAAGTCTATCAGGTGCTTGGGTTTCTTGGAGGGCTCACAGCTTTCTTGGGGCAGCACGCTGCCGTCAGAAGAGACACATTTCAACAACCTCTTCTTGAAGCCTTTCCCACACGTCTTGGAGCAGGGGGACCAGTCCCCGAGCTGCCACTGCGGGCAGGGCACGTCGGCGCAGGGCCGCAGGTTGCTGGGCTTCAGCTCGCGGGCGCAGTCGGCGGCCGGCCGGCCCCGCGGGTCCCGGCACTCCACGGCGCGCCGCTGCCAGCCCGAGCCGCACGACTTGGAGCACTCGCCCCACTCCTCGATCACCCACTCCGAGGAGATGATCTCCCTGATGGCGTTGAAGGATTCCTTCTTCTTGCCCACCACTGCCGCCGCCTTGTCCGCGCCGGGCTGCGCCGGCTTCTTCACGAAGTAGGTGAACTTGATCTTGGGCTGCGGCAGGTCCCCCACCGTCAGCACCTGGATGGTCAGCGGCTCCTTCAGCGGGCTGAAGCTGCGGATGCGCTCCAGGGCGGCCGAGGAGCCGCTGTAGCGCAGCACGCTGCCCTTGTAGGTGATGTCCTGCTCCAGCGTGGACAGCGTATAGTCGCCGTTGAGCACGTAGGTGCCGTCGGCGGCTTTGATGGCCAGGAAGCTGCCGTCGTGCCGCGCACCCCGGTGGTTCCGCTGCTTCACCTCGATGTTGGTGGCCCCCGCCGGGATGGTGACCACGTCGTGGTAGCCAGGTCTGCCCCGGGAGAAGAGAGAAACACTGAGTCCTCTCTGCAGGGAAGGGGAAAAAGCCTCCCAGCCCAAGACTAAACCTTGTCTGAAGTCAAGGCGTTTTAGCTCGGTAATGGATGAATCCCATCCACAAGGACAAGGTGAGCTTCCCCCCACAAGGACAAGGTGAGCAGCAGCCCCACACTCACTTGGCTCTAACGAGGGTGCCAGACACCTTCTTGCAGGTGGAGCCGTTGCCCCCGCAGATGCCGCACTTGTCGAACTTCTTGTTGGAGCCGATGGTGCGATCGCAGCCGGCCTTCACGCACTGCCCCTGCACGCAGACGGACGTGGAGTCGGGGCTGCACGGGGTCCCATCCACCACCTTGGGGACACAAGGAGCCTGGTTACAACATGCACAATGCTCTGAAACCGCGTGACACAAAATACGGATGGGTGGAAAGCCCACACCACATGTTGTTTTCAGGGCCTTGGAAACTAAAAAGCAGAGCTGCCCACAGGTAGTATTCTCACTTGCCAAAATGATGCCATGGTAAGAGGAGAAAACAATCTCACTTTTCATTAATACCTCCCCCTAAAAAGCTACTGTTTATTGATCTCATACAAAAGAAGCCCCATTGCTTTCTAGTATCACTAGAAGGCAGCCCTGTCCTCAAAGCACACTGCCAGTGTTGCTTTTAATGCTGTTCAGCACATCCTTTATTTCTAGGAGTGCTGTTCCACAAAAACCCTCTGTGTCATCGCCCTGGTAGTTCCTGGCTCTCACCATCTGATGACAGTGAATTCAAGTAGCTATGCAAGATGAACATTTTTCCTCGTGTTTATTTTAAGCTGTCAGCATGTTAGTAACCAGTATGAGAAAGCACCAATGTTCTGGCAAAGATCCCTCAGAGTTTTCCAAACCTATCTCAATGCAATCAGATTGGTGGAAGGAGAGGAGAGGGAAGGAAACCAGGGTGGAGTGGGTAGAGGAGGTGGAAGGATTGTGCCAAAACACTTAAAGCATGGTTGCAATGATCCTGTGTGTGGAGGAATAATCCAGCTTAAATATGAGAAAGACAGTTTCAGATTTCTACACTGCTTGACTCTTCACATAGAGAAAATAAAAATCCCCCTCATGATTAGCTGGAAGAGGTGCAGTTTTGAAATACCTTTGGCTGTAGAACAAAGAAGTATCCCGTTCCTTTGGCCCTGCAAACCAGCTTGCATCTGTCCTTTGGAGACACACCAGCGAACTTGGGTGTCCACTCCACTGCAGGTCCACTTCCAAAGGCAGACTTGGAAAACTCATTGTGCTTTTCACACTGTTCCTCTCTGAACGTTTTGCCTGCAGGCACAGAAAAGACAGGTGGCCATGAGATCATCTCTGTCCGTGCTCTTCCTCCACAACACACCAACCCTGGCTGTCAAAAACGGGGAAAAATTACCGTTGTTGTCGGGGCAGTCCTCGATGTTGCAGGACCTGTACTGCACCCGCTTCCCTTCGCAGTACTTGCCCCCGTTCCTCGGGACGGGGTTGTCGCATTCCCGGAAGGAATACTGCACTCCCCCGCCGCAGCTCCGCGAGCACTCGCCCCACGCCCCCCAGGAGCCCCAGCCCCCGTGCACTGGCGTCTGGAACGACAGCAAAAGCAGGACACGGGTTAAATACAGGAAAATCCATACAAAACCACACTATAAAAGCCATCATCACGCTCATCTTTACCCACCCGAACTCAATAAAAAACCTGCCCTAGGTTTGCTCATGAGCATCGAATCAACCCCATCTCACAGATCCCTCCCTTTGCAAAACCCAAAGTCGCACCCATTTCTTTTTCACTACTTACATCATAGTGCTTCTTCTCAGTCTTATTCACACACTTGCCATTCATGCACCACTTCCCTTCGCCGCAGCTGGTGCCGTCTGCCCAGGGGAAGTGTTTGGTTTGGCACACCAGCAGCCCTCCCGAGGTGCCCGTGCACCACAGCGTCGTGCACGTACTGGCTGCGTCGGGGCAGTGCTTCGACTCATCTCCAAACGTGAACTGGCACTGCCTGTTGGCATCGTACAGCGTGCCAGGCAAGTCTGAGGGCAGCTGGATGGGCCTGTGGGGCTTGTCCAACAAGCACTCCCCTGAAAAAGTTGAAGAAAAGAAAAAAAAAAAAGTCAGATGATGCTGCGGGGTCAGTTTTAAAAGGGAACTACATTTGGTTTTGTGCTACCATTTTTGTAAAAATAAGGCTCTTCTAAACTCACTGACAGCATGCAAAAGGTTAAGTCCGCGCTGAAGCAGAAACACTCTTAAAGAAAAAAAAAAAAAGCAAAGCAGTAAAGCACAAGAGCTCAAACGCCACATGAATGGAAAGCTTAATAACCTTACCATGACCGTTATCCAAAAATGTTGTAATCATGTAGGCACTGCATGGAGACCAGGGCTGGCTGCGGTCCAGGTTGGAGAGCATGGATGCCATCATGTGGAAATCCCGGCTCATTCCATTGATGCCAGCACACTGCTTTGCATCGTCATGAGGCATGTTAAACACGTGGCCTTGGAGAAAAGGAGAAAAGCAAAGTCTGTGACTTTAGGAAGTCTGTCCTACACTTTACCAGCAGTATTTTAAATATTGCTCTAGAGCTGCTCAGAGCCTGGTCTGTAATTAATAACCCGAAACTGAACGCTCCCAGATTTCAAGCAGATGGCACTGGATCTTCTATCCCTTTTTTTTTTTTTCTTTCTTTTTTTTTTTTTTTTGCTCTGCAGGCACACACAGAGCCTCTTGCAGACAATGCTGTGCAGGCCGGATTTGCTTTCCCGAGTCCAAGCCTGCTCCAAGACAGCGCTTTGCCTCCTCCCGACTGCTCCGGGGAGGTGCAGGCTGCGCTTTACGGCATCAAGCTGGCTTCAATTAATCCCAGGGAATGGCTTTGCAAAGTTTCAAGTACCTAATTCGTGGGCTGTTGTGAAGGCAGCCTGCAAACCATCGTCTTCTATGATAGAGCAACTGCGGTTTAGATCACAAACTGTTCCCACATCAGCCATCCCAAGAGTATCACATGTCTTGGCACCGCACAGGTCCTGTAAAAAAAGGCAGTTTCATTATTAATCAGATCAGAGACTTAACCTTGGCAAGAGCCATCCAGCCCTGGCAGTTTGCCTTTACTTATGGAAAGAGCATAAATATTCAGCACTTCAATGGGTATGATGGCAAAAATCTGTCTCTGGAACATAGGCGAGGGTTACACGTAGAAATGAAATGCATAATTTCCATCTGAAATCTGCTAAAAATATACGGGGCAGGAACACAGTGCACAATCTGTGAGTTTACAAAGACAGTGCACAAACTGTGAGCTTCACCAGACATGGTGCAAACAGCAAAAAAAAAAAAAAAAAAAAAAAAAAAAAAAAGAGAATAAAACAAAAAGCAGCTCATGTAATTTTTAGCCTGCTCCACTGCAGCTGTGGTGACACGCAACTGTCTGGACACTTTTTCGGAGGTCTCCTGGCAGAGGGGATAGGGAGCAGTGGGCGTGGGGCTGGATGTGACTCGGTGTCCCTCACCTGCCTGGTGAAGAGGATGGCCGTGTCGTAGTGCTCGGCGTGCCGGTCGCTGGGCGGGTTGTGCTGCTTCTGCCAGCTGCAGAAGTTCCTCAGAGTCAGGGCGGCGTTGGAGGAGATGTCGGGGCCCTTGCGCTCCTCGTAGATGACCATGATCTTCACCACCACCAGGCTGATGGAGTTGCGGATGCTGGGGTGCTTGTACAGCTTGGCGGCCACGGAGAGCAGGGTCAGCAGGTAGTGCTTCAGCCCGCTGCCGTGGAACTCAGCCATGGACTGGTCGGCCACCAGCATGGTCTCCACGTAGCGGGGGCTGGACACGAACCTCTTCTTCCTCCTGCTTCTCGTTTCTGCGTAGAGAAAATAGAGGGAGGGAAAGCGCAGGTGAGCACAGCAAGAGAGCACCGTTCAGAAGCCCAAACCCGCGGGTAACCCAAGATGCGCACCCAAGCTTTGTGCTTGTTGGGCATCTCGGGGTGGGATGCGGGGCAAGCAGCGGCCGGGCATCCCCGCCACACCCCCGCCCTTGCCCTCCCCGTCCCCGCGGAGGCCGGCGCGGCTTCCCCACGGTACCTGCGGGCTCGGCCGGCTCGGGCCGCTCCGCCCCGGCCCCCGCCTCGGCTACAGCGCAGCGGGCGGCGGGGGCGGCCCGCGGGGCGCCGCGGAGGCGCAGGAGGTGCGGCCCGTGGAGGTGCGCGGTGCCGGGCGCGGGCTGGATCAGGTACTGGCGGCCCCGCAGCGAGAAGGCGCCGCGCAGCCCCGCGCACAGGCTGAGCGCGGCCGCCGAGCTGGGGTCCCGGTTCACGGTGCCGGAGTAGAAGCAGCGGGAGAGGTCGTCCTCGGGCGGCGGCGGCGGCCCGCCCAGGTACTGCAGGGTGAAGTCCGGGGCTAGGAAGCTGCTGTCGGGCTCCAGCTCCAGCGTCAGGCTCTCCCCGAAGGCCTCCAGGCGGAAGCGCTCTCGGGCGCCGGGCGCGCCCAGGCGCCGCGGCAGCACCAGCGCCCTGCGCTCGGCGCTGCACAGCCCCAGCAGCGCCGCCAGCACCGGCGCCAGCGCCGGCAGCCGCCCCCCGCTCCTCATCGCTCGGCGCAGCCCTTCTCCTCTCTTTATTTCACTTTATACAGGAATGGGTATGGAAGATGTGGGTTTTTGCTTTCAGGTTTTGGGGGGTGTCTGAGTCTGTCTGCCGGCGGAGGACCGCGCGGGAGCCGCGTCCCGCGGTCACTGCAGAGGCGGCGTCGGCTTCCCCATGGCCGGGGCGCGGCGGCGATGCCGGGGATCGCGGCTGTGCGAGGGCAGCGCTGCCCCTCGCTCCGTTCCTCTGTCTTCTGTCCTGCTCCGGCTGCCGCTTCTCCTGCCCGCCTCCTCAGCCTTCCCCGGCTGCAGCAGCAGCAGTAGCAGCGGCGGGCGGGGAGGACGCTCCGGCGAGTCTCCGGCAGCCCCGGGACGGTCCCGCCTGCACTTCCAGGGCGCCGAGGAGCCTCCCTCCCGTCCTTTGCAGAGCGGAGCGCCGCGGGCCCGTCCGCCTCCGCCGTGCGGGGTGAGTGCGGGAGCGGGGCTCGCCGCCGCCCTTTATGGGGTCCGGCCGTGCCGCCCCCAGCCCGGCGCTGCCGCCGCGCCCGCGCCGCTGAGATCACTGCGTGCGTAACGCGCCCGCGGGCGGCCCCCGCCGCGCCGCCCTCCCGCCGCCCCCGACGGGGCGGGACGGCACCGACACGGCCCGGGGTCGGCCCCCGGCTGCCGCAGCGGGCTGGGCTGCGCCCCTCGCCTGCCCGGGGGGGGCTTTGTCCCCGGCTGCGAGCGCTGCGCGCCGCGGGGATCTCTCGGGGGAGCGCCTGGATGCGCTGCGCGTCCGTCCCCCGCCCCAGGAGCTCCGGACCGTCCACCTGCCGCTCCCCGAGCCCCGCGGGGCGCGGGAGGGAGGGGACGCATCCCTGCTCGCCTTCGTGGCTTTTCCTTCTATTCCTTCTATTTTTCTTCCCTTTTTAAAATTTTTTTTTCATTTTTAATCCCCCCCTTCTCAAGCAATTCCTGCCCTTTCTCGGCCCTAATAGCTGCAGTCGGTCATGCACCTGTACTTCTGAGAAATGGTTCCTTTCCAATCACTTAAACAGAGGCGTTTGCGTAGGTGCAGCTAATGTTTTGCTTTGAAGGCATAACCCGAGCATGGTAGTGCTGCTAATCCCCTTAATTCTTTATGTGCACAGCCCCAGCTTTCTGCTTCTGGAGGCCTTTTTGGAGGAGGAGGGCAGAGAAGTGGTGAATAAATGTGTGAATAAAACCAGAATGTATGTACCTGTTGGTCACAACTTCTGGGCTTCCCAATTAAACAAAGATGCTTTTGTGTCTGTCAACACATCATTCAATACAAGTATGAAACTCAGGGGCTGAAAACAGAAGGAGCAAAGCCTTGGGAAAGGGCAAATATTTCTAAAATTTTGTGTAAAATTGTATGTATCCACTGTTTTCTTGGGCTGGAACGTCCCATTTATGCCACTAAATCTAATAACCCTAAGGCTTTTCTTCCTAATTTAAACCATGTCAGACAAACTTGGAACCACATGTGTGTGTCAATAGCCCAGTCTGACTGCCTGCTAAGTTCTGACAATGCATCCTTTTCCCATGGCGTCCTGTAAATCTTGCAAGCGTAGAATTGCACATTGTTTGAAGCTGTGCAAAGAAACACAGGAAAAGATGAAGCCAATTTCTCAGCTACTTGCTCAGCAAAAGTGCTCTTGTCCCACAGAGTGATGGGCAAAATCAGAAGTAGGCCTCAAATGTGGGATTTTCTTTGGGACACAGCAGGAAGTGCTGGATTGACTTCCAGAGTCTGCGGCTGCTGCCCATTAATATATCAGCAGCAGAAAAATCCATTCAGTTATGATAATTTTTCACTTGAGTTGGAAATGTGTGTCAATCTCTACCCTTACCTTTGAGATCTGTGTGTGCCCAGCTCTGCCGTGCTTTTTCTAGGATAGAACACAACAAAGGTACTGTTCATTCACGCTGTTAATTAATTTGGTGTTGCACATGATACCTAATTTAGGGAATTACCAATTTAAGACCCTGGAAATTGAAACGTGGAACTCAAAGGAAAGCATCTTCATAACTTATTTTTCAACTCGCATTGACTCAAGATAGAGACTCTTGCAAATATATATGAATTAAAAATAGGAAAATCTCCTTTTCTGTCAGCATAATCAGTGTCACTCATAGATCAGCAGGGACCAGAGCCAGGCCACCAAATGTGTGTCCACCCAGCTGCCAGATGCACTTTTGGTTTTGCTGCTGTTTTTTGATGTTAATTCTCTGCTCTGAAAGGATCCTGACCACCTTAAAACAGCTTTTTCAGGCTGAAAAGCCTTTTCCATATTCCACCAGGTGGCACTCGCCTATAAAAATTGTTATGCGAGAGTTCAATGGTTCGTCTCCCAGCTTTCCTGGTGGAAAGGCTTACATTTTAGCAGGGAGCTTTACAGTTCCCTCATTAGGCCAGAAGTTTTCCTGGCCTTTAGGTAACATCCAGGGAAGTGTTTTAGCAGAGAACTCAGCTGTTCTATTGCACTACCTGAACACAAATCGTGTTGGGAAGGAATTTTTACAACAGGTTTGCTGCCTGTCACACCTGGATCACCACCTGGATCATCTTGTAAGTTCTTAAATTGCTTCCTGTGAACAACCCCCGTGAGTTTAGCTGGATTATTCAGGGCACTGAAACCTCTGTATAAGTATTTTTAATCTGTATTGTACCAAATCTGGGCCAGCTCCAATCACAGTTTGTGTGAATCAAGACTTGGAAAGAAACGCACTGACCTTTCTCAGGATTCACGTAGATAAAGACCCAGAAAAGGCATAAAATTGGTCTTTTTAAAGAAAGTGCTAGTGCTTGGAGGAAGAAAGCACATCCTGTCGGGATTACAAGACAGTGTAATGCCAATTAAGCCACCAGATAGCGCCACCACATCATCGTTTTTGGGTCAGATCGTTGTCTTTTGCTCTGCAAGAACAGTTTATGGCTCAGACCCAAGTGCTGTCGGTCTCTGAGCAGGATTAACAATGCTGAAGCTTTAATTTCTTCACTACTGTTTGCAATAATGGCTGCTTCCAAAATTAAAAAAAAAGGCAACACAAACAACCATCCCAACCTTATTTGTTTCAGTGCTGCAGAATGATTGCTTCTTTCAAAAACTTCTATAATTAAAATTAAATTAGAATTAAAACAGCAGATGGCACATTAGGCCCATTGAATAGGGGATAAAAGACCTGATGCTGTAGAAAAAGTTCTCTGAAAAACACTTCCAAGAGCATTTCTGGAGATTGTTTCTCTGTGATGTCTTTGTGTTTTGTGTGATTAATTTATATATTTCCATTTATTGTTCATTTTGAGGTCATTAACCGTTGGTGGTTTTTTTGTAGGGTAAGAACGTTAAGAGAGAAAACCTCTAATTTTGCCTGTTTTGATAATCAGCAGAAATGGGAAAAAGCAAAACAATATCCATCATGACTTTAGGGAGAAGTACACATTTGTATTTTGGAGGAGAATTATGGGATTTGATGTGGTGATGTGTTTCTCTGTCATTTCTGCTTTTACATTACTGATTATCAAAGTTGCTTTAAAAAAATTGATGCAGAAATTTGGGCAGCCTCCAAATTTTATTGCTAAACAGCCCATGTTGGCCTGTGTGCACTCAAAATGATCTGCTCCTAATTCTTTCTACTTTCCCTTATAAACTTTCATCAAAATGGGATTCAGCAGGAACTTGGACTGACACTTCTGGCTGCGTGAGTCAAATATTTTGCTATTTAAAAAGAAAAAGGTTTGCATGAGAATGTGAATTCAGACCTGTCCATACCCTGCAGAAATCCACAACAAGTGGTTTAAAAGACTGTTGAGGTCTGACTTTGTGTCTCACTTTCTGGTAGTAGAAGTGTTCCCACTGAAGAATTTTCGCCACCTTCTAAATATCTTGCAAACACCTGACCTAAATCTGAATTTTCATGGTCAAAACAACTGCCAGGGATCAAATAAAAGCAATCAGGCAAAGCAAAATGCTTCATTGTGGCATATCTGCTTTAAAAGTGTTTCAGAAGTTAAGTACAGCTTTAACAATGGCTCCAGAGTCCCTTGGCAAATGGCAAGGAGCACATTCATGGTGCCCTGAGCTCCACTGACATTTTGATATTTTTATCACACTGGGATTTCAACAGATCCCTCACTTTCTCCTGTGCTGTGGACAGAGGATTTCACAAGCACTGCAAGACATGATACAGTTCCCATGGAATTCCTCCTAATGAAAACTCATCCCTGCACCTATTAATAATTTTTTACCTTTAAGATTTCTGTGTGTGATATGCCACACTCATTCCAAAGCCACTGTCTACTAGGATTTCCATATTGTCCTGAATGTGCTGGGTCATTCTTTCTGACCACAACTCATATAATGCTGGTACAGCTTATAAAAAGTGTCAAGAAATTTGAACATTAGCAGCAAACATTTTCAGTTAAACATCAGTTCCCTCACCCTGGCTCATCCCCTCTTCTCCCACCCTTCCTCCCTGTTATGCTGGGTAATCAAAAGTTGATTGGCAGTGAGTATATTTAACAAAGGGCACAAACCTTTAAGGAAAGTGATTAACCACTCTCCACTCTCCAAACAATTTATATACATGCCTAGACTCATCTAATCCATGTTGTGCTAAAAGCTTGGATGGGCTTTCCTCTTGGTTTGTAGGGATGGGGCTCAAATGAGCAACTCACTGCCACTAATGAGTATCTCTTAAATTCCCCTAGAGAGCTTTTCCTTCTTTAACAGGTAAAAACCTGAGGTACAAAGGGATTTAGCAATTTTTTAGCAAGAAGAAAAAATACCTCTGTTACATCAATGCAGTTCTTAGACATTTGCAGAACCTGTAGCTCTGCCAGAATTTTCAGGACAGGGCTTATGATGTTGCCGATTGGTTCTTGCTTTTTGGCAAATTTTATGCACATTTGGAACAGGACATGAGATGGTTACCTCTTGGTTTTTTTCTGCTTGTTTCCTAATGTTAGGCTCTAATTTCAGATTAAGTTTTGCTTCTCT